CCGCAGAACCGTTCTCTCGAAAACTCGTACCGTCGACTAATAACATGATATCATTGGACTGGTAGAGTTTGGTAGGGAGTCCGAAGTAGCACTTGTTGACAAAAATGATTCAGTGTTGAGTTTCAAGGCTGATATTGTTATTGGGGCTGAGACTGGTTTCGAGATAGACGAAACTATCTATGACTTCAAAGTTATGACTATCAACGGTGATGCGCGAGACAAGTCGTGCATGCGACGACTGTTTGTTTGATGACAGGGAGATATTTCGTCTTTCTCTCGTTCACTGCCAGACCCTTTTGCTTCGCTTCCGTATCCCATCTGGCGAAAGCAGAACTAACGGCGCGGTTGTTAAGGCCAATGATATCAATATTAACGGCATATGCCTGCAGTTATACACTCTTATAGAAGATTGTACCTAGTTTGAAGAAGTCACACAATGGAGAGGCCCCTCGTCTGAAACCTTTCTTGGAATCGAACCGATCAGAGAGGTCCTTCCGATTCCTGACGTAGCTTTCGTTATTGTTCAACGTCAGCTTACACAGCCGTACGAAATTTGCGGGGATACCAAATTCAAACATAGCAGTATAGAGGCAAATCCTTTTCGTGCGGAAGTTTTAAAATTGACGAAGAGGTGGAGTGTGTCGATCTTTCACCGGTCTTTTCCAAGATTTTGCGCATGGCCCTGGTCTAATCGATAGTCGAATTTCCAGATCTAAAGTCACACTGATAAGGTCCAATTAGTTTGTTGACTGTGGACTTCAGTCTTTCACACACTACCCTCGATGTCAGGCGATAACAAGGAGGCTTAACCCACGGTATTTGGCGAATTGTGGGGTCCCCTTATATTGGATAGGCGAGCTGGATAGACTTCGTATAATAGAAGGGATGTTTGCGAAATTTGACCTCTATTGACCTTTTAAGAGTTCGAGTTATGGAGAACTTCGAGTTAGAGAAGTTTGATTTATGGAAGTTCAACTGTATTTATACCCTGAACAGGGAATATTAAGTTCGCCACGAAGTTTGAAACGCTCAGAAGGAAACATCGGAGACCCTGTAAAATAAATATATAAACGCAATTGTGAAGGGTTTACAGCTTCGGTGCCGATAAAGTTAATACATTTTTTTTTTAGTCTTCGCTCGATTTTGTGGTTAAAGAAGTAAACCTTTTCTTTTTCTTTCAAAGTAATTTTTAACGCAGAAATTAGATTTGGTTTAACTATTCATTCAGAGAGTAGGGATTGACATAGCTGAAAAAGGCGGAAAAGTTGACATACAAACTAATTTTCATTCCAAAGTTTTTTTTTAAATTCTTATTACCAAAATAATTGTTCCGTACGCCGCGCTTAAGACACATCGCACGTTGCTTCCTATAATCGGTCGTCATAATCGCCCAGCGTAGTCGATAACTAGAGCACCTGTGGGTCGGTTTTGCACACTAGTGAATAATGTGCGTTCTCAGAGGCCTCCGATTGTAATTAGCCAATGTTGAGACGCCGTTACATCCTGAAAAAGTCGCCGTTTGGTGTGCTGAATGGGCAGAGGGAATATGCAATAACCCGGTCATACTGCTACAGTCAATGGAGAACGTCATAAAACCATGACTAATGACTTATTTGTACCTGAATTGGTACGATCTTTGATTCCAACAAACCAGCACTACATGTCGTCATGCAGCAAACGAAATAATTAATTTATTGGCCTTCAAGATCCGATCGCCTGTGACTGTATCCCCTGAAGTAATATCGAGACATAGTGACGAGTGGATAGTTCTTGGTCGGATAAAAATGCAGGTTGATGTTGTGGTAAAAGTAATCTAATCATCGTAAGGATGGTAAGAATTAGATAAGTTGTCATCGAGGTCATCCAACGGTAGACCCTGGAAAAGGGCTGCTTCGATAGGGTCGGACCATAGGCAGAGCGGTGTCACATGTGTAGGTTTCGCAAGGCATGCAAATAAGTGTTTAGTGCCATGCGGTGACTCGTTGCACGCTGGACAGGATTGACGCTGGATAAGTAGGAGCTTAACTTGCTACTCTCGATCCTCGCGGCATCATAAGCTCATCGTCGGCAATGCAAAGTACACCATTCACTGTGAGGGAGTTGGTGAAGGTGTGAGCTATTAACACTGTGATGGGAATCAGTGCATGTCTGAAATTTATTGCGTCCGAAGTGTGGTCGGCGTATTGTTTTAAGTCGTCGACTTAGTTGAGGAAGACCTCTTGATGATCCTAGGACGCGGTTCCGATATAAGCAGATGACTGCAGGGATGATCTCTGCAAAAGCAACCGAGCAGAAAAATGTGGGTCCGTTCCGATTACTTAGATTCGAAATTGTCATGGGAACGGTTTTTAGGTATTTAGGTGGTTCAACTGTGACGAAGATATCGAATTCGCGATCGAAATTAAATGAAGCAATGATAAAATGAATTGGAGATGTAAATTACTGGGATGCTAGAATTTAGAAAATAGCACCGAAAATTTTAATTTGACTCTCCTGCCAAGCAAAAACACTTGCAAATAACAACACGGTGTTTTTTTATAGATATCTTTCATCTGAATATAATGCAGCAATCATTTATTTTTATTATTTTTCATAATAGAATTTTTATTTATTTAGAAAAATTAGACGCAACCTTCGATATATTTTTTGTATTATTTTTATGAAAGGCCAAATGAAATTTGTTTATTGCTTCTATGAGTAAGTTATTAAGGACAATGACAATTGCAAAACTAAAACTAATACATTATTGTACAATTGTGGATGATAATTATGATGATAGGATTTAATGATAAGACTTAATTATAGAATTTATACATACAACGATAAGCTTAAGCCACGGTCTTGTCCGCTATCCTTCCATTTTGTTTTACTCGCCGACTTTGTTAAGACTATGTTTGCTACAATCGTGCTATTTATTTATTTTATAATATTATTTATATATAATAATAACCTTTATATGAATTTCAATGCATTAAATTGTTTGTTTTTGTTTTTTTTTTTCTATTTTCAGCATCCAATACAATTGTTCCATATAGTGTTTTTGTATTTCTAATTTTTTATGTACAACAATACTTAATTTTCGCTTAAAACCTTTGTCCGTGCTTAAATAGAATTTATTTAACGGCTTGGAAAATATTTCAATAATCGATCTCTTAGATTTTGTAACTGCAAATAGATTGCAATGAAATTAATGTTAGTTTGAAACGCTAACTGCTGCTTTCCATTTGTTAATTATAAATTAAATTGTTTGTGTTGGCTTTTGTTGGTTTCTGCTCATACATACATATGTGTATGTATGATTACACATGGTATGTATGTGTTTTACTTGTTTTCAATTGCTACTTATTTAGTTAAACTTACGATGACCGTATTTGGGAGTTCTGCATTACTTGTATTAAATATACGAGGATACACACAAACTTTTGTGTGGGCCGATTTATGTATGGCTGAAATATGTTTGTGTCAGTATTGTTGTGTGGACGTTTGATCACGTGTGACAGTTCAGCATTAAGTATAAAATGTAGAACTAGTTATTTCAACTTTCTCATGCCTTCCAAGGCAGAGTTTAATACAGCATTAGCAGAAATAATGCAAAATGCAACATGTATTTGCCACACATAGCTCAGTTATGTAAGTTGGCTGAAACTATGCTGTTAAAATTGCGTTCGCCATTTTTTTGTTTTTTTTGTTTTTAATCAAAATTGCAAACAACAGAGGCTTGAATTAAAAAATATTGCATTCATCACTGTTGTAGCAAAACAAAAAATTAAACGAAAATAAAAATATAAAATTGCTTTATTCTAACTAGTAGCTAACTTAAGTTTATTTAAATGCTATAAGATTATATTAAACTTGAAAAGATGCTAATGCAAAAAAACTCTCATATTTGAAAAATTAAAAAACTTTTTTTTTTTTGAAAAAAAAAATTAAAAAACTTTTATTTTTGAAAAAAAAAAAAAATAGAAGCACTTTCATTTTGTCCGTAAACACTAAATTCTTTAGTATATAGCAGAATACCTAAGGGCGCCGGCAGCATGCACTTACGAAACCGAATACGTGCGCCATTTCACTAATTATGCCCATTGCAACATCATATGTATGTTTCTATATATGTAAATATGTATGAGCATGCAATTGATTGAAAGCATAAAAGATATAAATATATAAAAATATATTTTCAACACTATTACCGCGTGCTGCTGCATATGAAACAAACGCTTACATTGTAAAATGAGCATGTTTTCTAAATTCAGACATAAGAGCGCAATAAATTATTATTTTCTTGTTTGAAATTTTCTTTTACATTTTTCAGGTATTTACGAATTTTATTAAACAGTTACTAATCAAAGAAAAATTTTCAATGCAATTAGTTTTACACACCTTTTTCAAGAATAGAAATAGAAATTCATACATTTTACATTTATAATACGAAATTATTAAAAATGCTAAGTATTATAAAGCAACAATTGCTACAATTGTTAAAATTCTTCACTTAAACATTTTATTAATATCAAGAAACAAAAAAAAAACAAAAAAAAAGTCCAAAAGTTGCTTCACTAAAAACGAAAGTGAAAGTAAATTAGGCCAGTATTAACGTTGTTTATATACTTGTATGTATGTATATGTTGAGCTATTTGCTTATACGCGTGCTCTGCAGAATCGCCCAAATACTAAGTACGTTCTTCCGGTGTATATTTACATGCGAGATTCTTTATGATTTTCCATCTCATTACGCATGAGAATTAGCAACTATAAACAGTTTTCAAAACACTTTCACTTCCGTGCGCCAAACTATTTTCGCAATAGTTTGTTGTTTACATGTTTCTGAAACAATATTACAACGTAGACAGTGCGGTTGTCTCTAAATGAAATTTATTTGCCTTTACACCAGCGTAATTAATATTTTAAGTAGTAAATGCGTCAATTGAATTTGCGTGCGTAAATGGGACGCCATAACGCAATATCTATATCTCATGTAGCAATGAAATGATGTGTGAATATTGTTGTTTCACTGTGTTTTTATTTCATGGCGAAGTTAGTGCCTTGGCCGAACATTAAATTAAAAATTCTGCACGTTTTTATAGTTTACTTTCTTTTTTTTTTTTTGGTTTTTTGTTTTTGTAGAATTTATTCGTTTGTTTTCTTATACGTATGTAGCAGCTTAATGTACGTAAAGTGTGTGAAATATTTTGCAAGCCAACTTATGTACGTGCAGCATGTATATGCCAGTCCTGCCAAGTGTAACGCCTCTTTTAAAACTGTAAAAAAGAATATATATTTAATGAGCAATGCAACAAAAATTTCGTCTGTTATGAAGAACAATACAATTTCACATTCATTTGGGACTTTGAACGTCAAATAATAATAAGAATAAGATACGGAACACAAATTAAATGGAAAGATAACACTGGACTTATGAAATGACGGATATTTCACCTCCACATGCAGTTAGCACTTATGTACATAAGTAGGACGCTCACATTACAACCTGAAGAGGGTATATTGAATTTGCCACGAAGTTTCTAACACCTAGAAGGAAACGTCGGAGACCCTCTAGCCCTCTAAAAAATATTCATAAATGATCAGCGTGACGAACTGAGTGGATGTAGTCATGTCCGTGTGTCTGTCTGTATTTACGCAAACTAAACGATCGTTTTTGAGACGTCAGTGGGAACCGCCGACATTGGCCCAAAATTTGGCCCGAATTATTGTTTAAAGCAACGTTATAATTGGCGAAGAAATTGTACAGAACGCATAACTAATGCATATAGCTGTCAAACAAACTGAAGTATCCAAATTAAATCTTGTATGAAAAACTTTTTTATTTGACGAGACATCTACACAAAATTTTTCATGAATTATTTTTTAAGGCAACGGTACAACCTCCGAAGAAATTGTACAGATACAGGACTGTGATATCATATAACTGCTATACAAAATGAAGGATCAAAATCAGGTCCTTGTGATGGTAACATTTTTTTGGATTTTTTTTTTTTTTGTTTTGTTTTTTGTTTTTGAGTTTAACATGCCCTTAATATTTGCTGAAGGTTCATAATTTGTGACGCCTATCAGATAAATTTTTTAGGCCTTTGCATAAAGGGAGTTTTTAACTAAACTGAAACGTGTATGCTTTCCGTATTTGTGTGATATCGTTTTATTACCAATTTTACGTGATGATTGCATTTATCATCGTTGCATATGATGTGTTTGCGAATATTTTTGCCCGTAATCGGTGTTTTTACGCACAGAACCCGCAGAGTTGTTGGACGTGGATGCGTATGCGAACGAGGAGTCCGTGTTATTAACTCTGTTTTTATGATAATCCTTATAATTTTTTTGATTAACACTTTGATTATCATCATAGTCATCATCATCATCATCATCATTCGACTCTCCGAAGAGCTGATTCATATTATTCGATAAGAGTTGCATCTGTAAAATCATTTCAAATGGTTTCAAGCTAAAGCCTTACATTTTTTGGTATAACACGCCAGAAAGGCGCTTATAAAATCACCATTACCACAGGGATTAGTTCGTTTCATTCGTGTATTTTAGAATACAGACTAATATACATATGTAATTCTTAATAATACAATTCCTACACCATTTGCTTATGCATGAAGCAATGATATTTCGCCTTTTTGCCTTTTCATATGACCGGTTTTGGTTTCTTCGTTGAAACAATGAAGTTTAGAATAAATTAGGAACACATACTTGACCCCACACATACCGAAGCGCTATGTTAGTACTGTGATGCTGTTTGATGTGGGAAAACATGGCTTTTTTAGTATCGTAGACCAGTTAAAATCAACTTCTACTACATGATTAAGTTAGTTTATGTTTGTGTTGAAATAGATTAGCCCACTTGTCTTATATATGTATGTATGTACATATGTGCATTTTATTAAGATGTTGTACTCAGTAATTTCATGCTTAACCTCAAAGGAAGAGTATAGCAAGAAGTCAAATTTTTAATTGTGAAGACTTTTTTGTACATAATATCAATAGAAAGACGTGAGTGTCCATGAATTGTGTATGATAAACAGTATTTTGTAGTATAGTTGTAGCGAATGTGTTAATGACCTTCAATACCCATTAATTGATTTCGATTACAATTATACGGTGCTTACCTTGTTGACGTTTTGGCTTTTCGGCGCCGCGACAGTTGTTGGTGGCGGATGTGAAAGCAGTGAACCCCCTGTACCGCCTTGTAACATCATTGCCGAATGGAATGAACCACTTCCATTCGATTTAATGCCCTCATTGCTAGCCCGTTTTTTGTCTTTCTCTCGTTCGCGATCCTTGTCACGATCCCGGTCTTTCTTTTTCCCACTACTACTGCTACCACCACTACTACTATGTGACGTGGTTGTCGTTGCATTATTGGGTGTTACGAAGGACGAATAGAAGCCAGCTGCCGTTTGTGTCAGCGCCTGCGCTTGTTGTAAAGATGTGTGTGTCGAGGAGTCTGTCGCATAGTTTTCCAATTTATCTTTGCTGATTTTAATCTTTAACGCTGGTGCCGGATGTATATTGCTACCGCTATCTGTGGAGCTATTGTTAGCACTGCTCGTACTGTTGTTTACATCATTTATTATACGTTCTTTTGGTATTTTGATTTTTAAACATTCGGCAGTTCCTTCAATTTTATCTTTCGATATTTTAATCTTTACATGCCCGGCACTTTCTAATTCGCTCCGATCACGTTCCTTGTGCTTGTCTTTATCTTTTTTATGCTTTTTTCGCTCTTCGCGATCTTTCGACTTATCCTTCTCTTTATGTCTATGCTTGTCTTTTTTCTTTTTCTTTTCTGCTTTATTACTGCCGGCATCATTAATTTCCATAGATGATGGCTCAGTTCCACTACTTTGGCTTGTCGATTTTAGCGACGTCTCAGCCGATGCAACGGTCACATCCGGAGCCGAGGCCACTATGGATGGTTCGAAAAGTTCAGCTGGTGGTTGCAGACTAAGTGCTCCCAATTGTTCCGTTTTCAAGAGAGCATTGGAAGGGCAGAGACTTTCTTTTAACAAACTCCTCACCATGTCAGGATTAGTTTCTATTCCATTTACCACATGCAGCTTGTTACTTTCGCCTGTTTTGGATTCATTATACGAAGACAATGTAGGTTGAGTATCAAGTTTCCGAATTTTATTTTGTTCCTCCTCTTGTTTGTAGGCACCTTCATTGGGACGTTTGATACCGGCATTCATACCTGTAAATTGGAAATTTCGACTTATGATTTATATTTTGAAAATGTAGTGGTTTAAAATGTCGGGAACCCTATAAAACAGGTATATAAATAATAAGAGTTACGAGCTGAGTCGAATTATTCAAGTCGGTCGGTTTATCAGTATTTATGTAAACTTGGCCTTGGTTTTTGAGATACGGATTTGAAAATTTGCACACATACTTCTGTCCGCGAAAAGCTACTTATTTGTGGGAATTACCTTTAATGGATCACTATAGCATATAGATGTCAAACTAAAGTCAAATTAAGTACTTGTATAGAAACTTTTTTATATAACAGGATATCTTCACGAAATTTGGCATAAATCATTGTTGTTGTTGTGATCCATGTATGGTAAGGATTACCTAAATTGTCGTCGACGTCAACCACTGGTAGGACCAGTGCTGTTACGACGGGGTCGGACCAAAGGTAGAAGGGTGTCAGATGAGTAGGGTTAGCAGGACATGGAAAGAAGGGACCAGTGTCATGCTGGACATATTGTATTTTTCATAAGTCAGAGTCTATTCTGGATAAATAACTTAGTAATTTCCACAACAGCCGGTTCTATGCACCGAAATCGACAAGGGTGTTATCCGGCCAAGCACTGTTATTTCGAATATCGGTAAGTCTTAGTTATAACTTTTGCTTTGTTGTTCCTACTGAGGCTTAAGAAAAAGTTGTAGAAAAATGAAACAATGGATCCTACCAGTAAGTTCACCGATACTGCTTGAGTCTGTTTTCTTTGGCATGCTTATTTTTAAAGATGGTTGTTGTTGTTGCTGCTGTTGTAACTGTTGTTGAAACTGTGTCTGCGAAGTATTTGGTCGTACACCCATAAGCATTGAACTCGTAATATCCATTCCAGGATGTGCCCCCCGGTTACGGTCTTTCTTAGGTGCTGTCGCATTAGCGTCCATACGATCGCGATCGTTTTTCTCTCGCTCTCCTCCCTCCTTGCTAGATGGCATTTTATAATTATATGCATCGCCCACAGCGGCTGTTGACATATTATTATTAACATAAGTATTTGAAGACATTAACTGTGTTTGTTGCTGTTGTTGACTCCAGTCGGGGCTAAACAGGGAGGTCTTTGTTTGGTTAGCGTTCATTGGCTGTTGCAGCATCGCATGCACTGACGGTAACTGTGTGGAATTGGCCTCTTCGTTGTGTGAACCCTCTGGCGGCCGCGGAATCATATAACCAGCATTCGAATGTGATTGTACATGTGCAGCTGTTTGCTGATCTACATGCGTGCCAGCATTGTACATTGAATCTGTTGGAATAGTTGGCTGTTTGCTATGCTGTTGAAGGTGGACGGATGCGGGTTTCGATAAATCGTGTTTTCCATTGTTACTAGCGCTATTACTACTCTGCCGTACGTGCGGTGGCTGATAACTACCCAATATCGGCACATTACCAGACCCATTGTTAACCCCATAAGAACGTTGACCATGCATTATATTACGTGACATATCTTGACCCATATCCAATTTGCTTTGCAACTGTGTTGGGTTGCTACCATATTGTGGCATGGTCGCCATTGAGGAAGTAGGTGGGAATAGTTTATTACTACTACTACTACTACTATTACTGGCGCTTTTTCCAGGTTCGGGCATTTTGCCAGCAGCCTGCTCCTTCTGTATCACTCGATTTGGGTCTTGTTTTTGCGACACCTTATGCCCAGCATGCGATTGCGATGACGCATTATGTGGATATGAACCCACAATGTTACTCTTATCGCGAGATTTATGATAGTTCACATCTAATTGATGACCTTGTAAAGTCTGTCGTGGCACACTTTGGCCAGGTATACTGCTCAGAGATCGTCCGCTGGATGATGGAAGACCGGATCGTGACGAATTGCCTGGAACCATTGCTTGTTGATGACCTTGAGACGATTGCGAGTGATCACGTGGGCGGTTAACAACTCCACTAAACGGCGGTTGTTTGTGACTGCTTTTATGGTCTGGAATGATGCAATAAATTAATAAAAAATTAGAATGTAATTTGACGTCTATATCGCTATATTGTTAGATATGATCTTAAATTTTCTGAAATTCAGGAAATACTAAAGAATTGCTACAAATGATTTTCGAAAATCATTCCGACTTTTGGTGAACAGAAATAGTACTGTACGAAATAGGAACTTACTTCGTACACTACGGCAAAAAGGAATTCAAGGGATTTCTAGAGTACTTTTCTGTTCAACAGAAAGTCTATAGAAGTTATAGAAATGTTTAAGGTGTATACTATTTATTTACCAAATGCCGATATTTTAATGAACTCAAACTCACAAAGTAATAAATGCAACTAATTAAAAATATACACATTTTGTAAATATAAAACAATAGCAAAGTTGGTCAAACATTAACTCTCGCACTAATAATAAGGACTTACTAGATAGCAAAAAAAAACAAAAAAAAAAAAAAAAAAAAAAAAAAAAAAAAAAAAAAAAAAAAAAAAAAAAAAAAAAAAAAAAAATGCAATAATAATATTACCAATTTGTTATAAGGAATATTTTCTATTAAACCCATTTTAAACTTTTTCATTTTCATTGCTAATAATTGACACAAAACGCCTATTGAAATACCTTTACATTTGTGCTATTGAAAAGCGGGAATACATGCAATATGAATTCCTTACCAAGAACATCCGTAGGGGGGAAATTAATCTTCGAATGATGAGACGTCGAATTGTGATGGGAACGGTGTTGGCTGGAATGCAAATCGCCTTTTCGCGATAATTGCGGCTGTGGTGGTGGTGGTGGCAACAATGCGGAGGATTGCTGAGAGGAATCACCGCTTAAAGAGGTCGTAGCATAAGGCTGATTACTGTTACTACTATTGCTACCGCCACTACCATCGTGTGCATACATTTTCATCATATCCCCCATTTTCCACTCTTCGGCTGCACCCTTCTTTTCCTTATTGATTACGCGGTTGCTTGCATTTTGAGCGAGAGCTTTTATTGAGTTCAATTTGGATTTGAGACGCGATGGACTCTTTTCGTAAATTGCTATAAACTCTTCCGTCAATTGCTTTAGAAGATCCATAGTAACAGTTTTATCTACATAATGGAACCAATGTTTGCCTTCCGTTGATTGTGGAATCTGTTTCAATTATACACGCTTTCAACAATTTCTATCGAAATTAGCAAAATTTTCATATGCTTACCTCCCATCGTGACCACTTACAAGCCAAGTAGATACAGAAACAAGCAACTACAGTCGGTTTGTATTGTAGGCACATAGATGTCAGATGAAGGCTACATAGAAAATTCAAATTTCGGTTTAAAATCAATTGTCACACATGATTTTAGGATTTAACCATAGTAATAATGGTGTAGCCTTTTGTGTAACATATTAAAAAAATAACAAACCTATTAGAAGCCAGAAAATAAGAAGTCTGTGCTAGGTCCTTGCAGGCTGAAAAGAAAAATTTATAATATTAATATTTAACAAAAAATTATATTCTTTTAAGTTGTATTACCTTTAACCAAATGACAAGTTTTTACCACGTGAGTGTGGGGATGGTCAATAGCAACATCAAACCCAAGAGTTTGTAGCAGTACATTTTCATTAAATACCAGCTCTTGCGCTTGTTCTATGTAATACGCGTCTGCAGTGGAGGATGTTGACTGACCAAGGCACTTGTTAGCAGCCTTTATAACATGTTCAAGCTTTCGAGGCTGCTCTTCGACCTTAGCAGCTAAGAATAAACTCGCAGCCGCAATGTTATTGCGATGGAAATGGGTGAAGGAATGGAAGGCATAGAAACGATGCATATACACAATGGCAGTATTTATGCAAAGCTGTGAGCTGTAAGTGCACAACACAAATATATAAGCAACATAGAAATGCAATTTTTTTTTAAGAAAAAACATCAATTTGTTTACCAATTGTAGTTATTAACTTACACCTGCAGACGCTGTCCCATTTCTTGAATAAGATATGCAGTCATTTGGCGATATGAGAGTTCGGCATCTGGATCGATTCCTTGTCGTCGACTTGGTGAGTTCGATAGCTGTTCAGCGCTGAAGTACCAATGTGAATCCTTGTCCTTATCAGAAGGCCCAGGCCCAGCTGAAGCACCGCCACTACTCATTTTGATAAAAAAATTGAATCTCCCGACTGCTATAGAATAGGTATTTAGCTATAATATGTGCCAATGACATAAATATTTTGTTGTATATCACTACTATTATAGTGAACTTACCAGATGGACAAACTAACTGCGAACGTGAAAACGTAAGCGTATATGTATATTATTAAACGCAACGCTACTGGGAACAGAGTCAACCAGAGCAAATCCAGATATTCTTAAACTTTCATTTCAAAACTAGGGGCAGAGGCTAAGGAGTTTTGGCTAAAATGCAATTACCATTAACAGGGAAGGGAGAGTGTGTGTGTGTGAGGAGAATAATCATGAACAAAGTCGTCACAACTTCCCCGAATACAATTCAGTGTAATTCCATTTGTATGTGCAATTTCTTCACTTTGCCAATACACAAGTATAAGATTAGCACTTATAAATTCTCGTTATAGAGAAATTTAATATAATTTCAACGAAAATACACTTCACTTTACACTTTTAGCACAATTTAGAAAAATAGGAACGAAAATTTTTTTCACGAAACACGAAAAAGAAATTTTTTTCACGAAACACAGGGATGCTGAGGCATAATGTTAATAATGATGCCATATTGCGTGTATGCATTTACATTTAAAAAGTAATAGGTTTTGGTATAAATTTATAGAAAGACGTGCTTTTTTTAACTCAGGTCAGTAACAGCTTAGTGAAAACTTTGCAATCAAATTGTTTTAATATTGTAACACATATTGAAAACCTGTAATCTTATACGATTCACCAACCCAATTTTAGAGTTGTAACATACGGCATCATCAAGCATAAAACACATGTCGCCAGAGTTCCAACGCACAAAAGTAAACCAGAGTTGCCTGAGTTCAAATCCAATCTAAAACAAGATTGTTTCGTTAAGTTTTATTGACATCTGAACAAAATATATTTATTTTATTTTTTGTTGCAAAAGTCATATAAACTAATTTTTAGCTGAATTTATAATAATATATTTTTTTATTATTTAAATGAAATTTTTAAAATTTAATTTACCCACTTAGTTATAGTTAACTATTTTACAGAATTCATTCCAAAATTAAAATATTTTATTACAAATATTTATTTAAGAACCAATATATATATTTTTCTTTGTTTCTAATAAAAAGTATAAAAATATGTTGCCATTAAAACAGTCATTTTATTTTTAAAGTTATATGTGTATGTATGATTTATGAATATTGATTCTTATTATTTTTCATTATTTTTTGAAGACTTGACTTTTTCGGTGCGAAAATTACGCTCCATAACATTATATGTTTCTTATTTGAGAAATACAGATTACACTATAAAAGTAACGAACCCCTGTCAACAATCGGTTAAGTCATTGGTTAATTACCCAAGAGGCGCTATATACTTATGCCGTTCCCACGACAGTCGGGTCTACGAAAACCGGAACGGACCCGGATTTTTATCCGGCCAAGGACTGTCAACTCGGCAGAATTCTGCCGTTACAACAACAACAACAACAACTTATGTTTCTACGATTTGTCAAATCGAGCCGAAACTCTTCGCATATGCCAATGTCACCTCTCCCGGTTTACTGTTCGCCTGCACCGCAGCGAGGAACATAAAAAGTTAACGCATTTACCTTGCACCACGTAGACTCTGGGCCTATCACAAAATACATATATCCAAAATTACCTTTCTGTTTCTGTGCTTATCGGCGAGACCATTGACCTCTCCTTTAAACGCCTGAATCAGGAGGTCCCCTAGGCCTTTGGACAGTACCACCTTCTGATTCTTTTAAGGAAATCACTACTAGCCTGTGCGCCAATCGCCGCTTGTGCACTTCGTCGCTCTTCAGGAGATGTGAGTTTTTGTACAAGAATGAGACTATGAATGCGGGGCTTCTCCATGCTCTGTACTTTGAGGGTATTCATTATTTATTTAATTGAGTGTTAGAGCCTTCGTTTCACCGGGTTATTTGCCCTTCAAGTGCTAGAAGTATCATTTTACACAATCTCCACTTATTCCGGCTCTCATCGCGTCGTCAATCCATCCGAAACAACCGTCCGTCGGTGCGAGAATTTTCCACCTCCGACTCCATGTCTTCACCCCACCTGTGCGGTGTTGGCCATAGCCGCTACTCACCGAGCTGAAGGTGAGCTACTTGAATTTATCCTATCACGACCTTTTACAACTTCCTTCGTTGGCTGTGGTGCAATGCATCCTGCGCCCTTACTTGTGGAAGCATGCCAATCATATCTGGCGAATTCTTTCCCCCCACATAAGATCTTTCAGTAGATGACATTAACACGGACTGACGTATGGAACTACTTGGCGCAGTTTACGTATGAATCCACTGGACATTCCCAATCGAAATTGAAGCTTGTGATCTTGGTGACATTTGGTTTTAACAAGACGGTGCCACTTACCACACATAGCATCAATCAATGGATTTATGCAGAGGACACTTCGGTGAACAGATAATTTCACGTTCGATTGGCCACCAAGATCATGTGATATTACACCGTTAGACTTTTTCCTGTGGGGATATGTAAAGTCTAAAGTCTAAGCGGACAATACTGCTTTGATTCAGGCCTTGGAGCAAAACAAACGGCATGTCATTTGCCCGTTACCAGTCGAAATGCTCAAACGAGTCACCGCAAATTGTGCTCAACGGATGGACCTTCTGAGACGAAGCCACGGCCAACATTTGAGATAGAAAATAACATGGTTTCCCAAGCCAATGTAGTTTTAATTCCGAAATAACATGAAAGCGTATACTTTTTTATAAAATAATTTTTATTTTTGAGATGAAACATACAAAAAATTTGCTAAAATGTTGCGTATTCATCATTGGAATGCATATTACATTACTTACATAAGTATTTCTAAAATTTACGATACTTAAGAAATTTCGGCTTCATGGCGATTCACTATAAAAATCTATAATACTTGTTATAATCATTCTCTTGCGAATTTTCGTTTATTCACACGAATATTTATATGTGTTAATGTAGTTGTAACTTTAAGCTTTTTTTTGCTTTTAAATGCTATCATCGAAATAGTTTTTTTTTGTTTTTTTTTTTTGAAGTTTTTATGTGAGTTTATTTGCAACGAAATTTTAATAAAAAATATTAGTAATAAATTGTCTGTCAGTAGAACAAATTAAGTTGATGTTGAAATACTACTTTCAGGATCACATTTTAATAAAAATTAGAAAATTAGACTCTAAAATGTATTATAAATCAGAGTAAAATTAAGATTTAAAATGTCGCATATTCTCTACATAACTTCAACTCAAGTTTTTTCCGAGTTGTCTTAGTTTATAACTGTTTTAAAAAATTAATAAACCTTCTAAGCACTAGAGGCTATAAAAACCTCGAGTTATTTTGCAACAGGAGCTAACATTCAAAACGGTAGGAATGAGAGTCAAAAGTATGTATGAATGTATGTATGTATAGAAATCTGGTTGTTGAATTTGAAAGTCCACAAGTAAACTAGTACAGCAGCCATTGAAAATGGTAAAAATTAAAGAAATTTATTCTAAGTTGAAACCCATTGGAATTGAAAGACAAAATAACATAAAAGAAAATAAAAATAATTTGGAGAGGGGCGTGGTCCAGTTTTTAATAGTTTACAAAGGGTTTATCTACACCAGTAAAGTAGAAGAATAAAATGGGCTTATTTTGATTTCCGTCAAGACTATGTTAAGGAGTTATAGTGAAAAAATCTATAACTTTTGTATATAGCTCTTTCTCATTTAACCTCAAATTTATATGAAAAATTGAAATTACCTATTCTTAGGGTTTTTTATTTGTATCTTGCACAAATGTTTTTTCTTTCACGAAATTGGGTGGAAACTTAGCTTCTCATGTCCCAAAAGCAATATATTATATTTTTTAAATTTAAAATATTTAGAAGGTAATCTTATTTCGGCTTAAAATCGAAAAAATCCTATTTTTCAATCGAAAGTTCACACGTCAAAATATCAGAGTCAGTAGGCCTTATACTATATACGAGTATCATAAATGTCTACTTCTGATGACGTGACGTGACTTTTCAAATTATTTCGACATGAATCCTCGAAAAGTTATTATTTTGTACATAATAAATAAAAATACAGTGTCTCTGGGAAATAAAAAGTTAGGTTTACACTAAATTTCATGAGAGAAAAGAATTTTGTAAGATAAAATAAAAAACCTATATCATAATATTTATTATACATAAATACCAAGTAGTATTATATAAATATACAAGTATTTACTTGAGTTTTTCACATAAATTTTGAGATTGTCTCCAAAAGGTGTTGATGCCAAAGTTTTAGATCTTTTCATTATCTGCAACTTTGGAACATTACGCTTTTCTACACAACTCGCAGTTTCGGCGGAAATCGAAGTAAACTCTTTTTAGGCATTACATGGGGTTTTTTTATTGCCTTATTAAATTTTACAACATCTCTGGAATATTGTCCTACATTTTCAAGTTGATCTGAGTAATAATTTTGGAGATACAGCCTTGAGAACTTGTGCGCTCGATGCTAGCTAGGCTAAGTGCGCCGTCTTTAAACACATTTCTCTCGAAATTGGTGTTTTTGAAGTCGGTTGGCAAGATTTCTTGAGAACTACTCAACCGATCTTCATACATTTTACACGGGTCTTTGAGATACAATTCTTTAAGACTTTCCTTCGATTGACACTAAAAAACAAGTTCGCGAAATTTTCACTGAAGTTTTAATTTTTTTGTAAAATTGTCTGCCAAAAATTCAATTGTCAGTTTTTGTTTTCTTCGTCCAAATTCTAAGTTAAGGTTTGCTCTCAAAAATTACTTACACTGGTGTAAATGTTTTTTGTTATTAAGTCCTCAACCAATTTCGTTTGGATTATTTCCCGTTGCAAAATTTCAAAAACTCAAAGTTTATTCACAGTTCATCATTTTATGTAAACTAATAAAATTGTATTAAGTAAATTTAACTAATTTTCCTATACTATAAGCAAAAATAAAGAGCATTTCGAATATTTCGAAAATTTAGGATGCGCAGTCTGCTTTCTTTATAATTTGCAAGTGACGAAGTTTCGTTGTGTTTTTCTGAGTAAATGTGAATAAAGATGAAATAAATTATTCACACGGTTGCTTCTTACAAAATTTCTTACACATAATAAATACACATTCATCGCTTATTTGGTAAGGTAAATTGTATGTAGACTCTTAGAAAGTTGAACTATGTTTTACTAAACTTTGTTGTACATTTAATTTCGAAACATATCTTGCACTTATGTAAGTGTGTATATATTGGTGCCAAATAACGTTAAATCGAATGCATAAAGGTATTTGGTTGATATACATACATATAAGTACATATGTACATATGTATGTACATATGCTAAGGAGTTTCCGCTACAACTCTATCCAATCGCATATACTCACACAAATTGTTTGCACATCGATTCTTTATAATTTTGAAACCTCAAACCTGAGGCTCTTGTGAGCTTCACCTAACACTTATGTATGGATGTGATATTTTAATTTGCTAAATTTATTTAATAACGTACTATAATTTCTTCACACACACATTAATTTTAAAGGTAGCTCAATTTTTATTTACTTTCTAATAAATACTTTTTTAAAATCCTTTTAAT